GGAATCTCCGAGTTTTCCCTGCTCCAAGGCACTTACTTAAAAATTATCTATTTTATGGACAATTTATACATAGGATATATAAATTTGGGGGTATTTTAGAATTGAACTATAATACTTTAGGGGTAATTCAAAAGTAAAATTATGGGATCCTAGGATTTTAAGAATTTAAGGAAAATTTAGATATATTTTAAATATCAATATTAAACTTAGAGATATTTTACTAATTTACCTTCAGGTTCGAGGCGGGTTCTGGCATTTATATACAAAACCTGTCCCCACCTAGTACCCGGTTCGGGGAAAAATTATTTTACCCGTCCTCGCCCCGGTTTTATGGGGTAAATTGCCATCCCTACTGGGAGGTGCTGAGTGGCATTCTAGGGCGAGGACTTCGGCTGTTGCCAGGCTAGAGAGAGCGGTCTTCGGGCACGAAGGTGCTAGTCCCGATTTTAAAGTTGCTGAGGATAGCCTGGCCTAGGTGCATGGAGACGTCAGCTACGACCGAGGCCTCGTTAGAGGTGGTCTAGCCTATGAGCATGTGGACGTCATCCTCGGCTTTGAGGGTTTTCATTAGCTGTTGTGCTGATTCTTCTCATTGAGGAGGTTGTGGAGGGCCTAAGAGCATGGAGGTGTTGGCTTCGGCTCTAGGGAGCTCAATACCATGTTTTCTATGAGTATAAGGTGTGTGTGTCCCCCAGTCGTGTGCTTCAGATGAGTTGATGAGTTCGTGCGCTGGCCAGGCATCGACTTCTGGCCGGTCACCACTATGTGAGGTGTAGACTGCAACTGGGCGTGCCGTGGCCACACACGAGACGAGTTCCGGCGTCAGGTGTTTTTCATGCGCATGAAGGATCTCGACGTTGAAGGTCTGGACCGTACCCAAGGTGGGCATCAGGTCGTAACCGTATACGAGACGGTGGTGGTGTCCCTTTGCATCCGGTGGAGAGGGCTGGCCATTCAAGTCAATTTGGTGGGGAGCTGAGTTGAGCCCCTAGCGGCGGAGGAAGTTTTGACGCGGGCTGGCCTCGGCTCCGATCACCTAGGTATGAGGATTCCTATCAGTTCGACACGTTGGCTCTCTTACCTGTTGATAAGCATCGGTTAGCTTGTGCTTGCACAAGGGTGTCACTGAATGCCAGGGACTTGTTGCTTGAGAAGGCCCAGTTGCTGGAGAGGGCATTGGATGGGGGCCCGTTCGACAAACAGGCGTCGAAAGGGTGCCTCAGCCAGGAGGGCGCCTCGACCAGGAGGACGCATCGACGAGGAGGGTGTCTCAACCAGGAGGACGCCTCAACCAGGCAACCCATAGGGGTGGCCAAGGTGGTTACTTGTTGCGTTGCTTATAGGATTCTTTCATTACTATTGCACTTCCACTACTGGTTACTTGTCATGCCGTCAGTTGGTGGCTTTTGCGTGAGGGTGGCAAACGTGAAGTTGCAAGCATCTGAGGTGGTACTGCCCTGAGCTGAGGAGGTGAGATCTCTGGCGAAGAGGGGCATGCATTCGTCGAGAGGTGGGCAAGGGGGGCCGCCAAGGTGTGGTTGTCACCCAAGGTGATGTAGCGAAGTGAGCCTGAAGAGTCATCGGCGAGCGGCTGAAGAAGACATGTTCGAGGTCTCAATTGCCTTCATCGAAAGTTGAGGTGTTACCCGCCGAGGAGGTATGACTGTCTAAGGGTTTACTTGCCGGGCAAGAGTGGCCGTGGTGAGCACTTTCTTTGAGTTGCCCGGCGTGGAATTTTGTGTATCTTGTGCCTCTGTTGTAGTTGCATTTCTTCTATGTGGGGTTCAGTGCCCCCTTTTGAGAGGTCACAAGTTCCAAAGATTCCATCGCTCAATAACCCATCTGTTCGAGCACCCAGGTGGGTAGGGTCGAGGCTGAGCTTCACTGCCATAAACATGGGGCCCCCTTCCTTGGTGAGAAGGAAAGGGAGGCGCACGCCATAGCTCTCCTGGACACCCTTCTTATGGGGGACAAGGCACTTGAGCTCGTGCGTAGCCAAGGCTGTGTGGAGCCCGCCGGTGGTAAGGACCACCTTGGCCTTAGCGAGGTGGCATTGTTCCCTTCAACATGTCTATTCTTTCATGAATTGTGCTAAGCGGGGGGCCGATGCCAGCTCTTGAGCCTAGATGAGAATTTGCTCGCTTAGAGGGTCTCTCCGAGGTTGTGGCCAAAATCAAGGGCCACCCCGTTAGCTATGGTCGAGATCCAATGGGTCCCTATCAAAAGGGGTGAGCAAGCATGTGACCTCTAGTAGGCCATATGCCTTGGGCCGACATATGGTCTGGGTGTGTAACCTCAATGAAGGTTGTGTACCATGGCCAAGTGGTCGTCCGAGGGCTTGTGGCCTCCAGAGGGTCGTATGCCATGGGTCATCGTCCAGTCCGAGTGTGTAACCTTGGTGAAGATTGTATGCTGCGGCTAGCTAGTAGACTGAGGTGAGGGACCTGGCGACTAGGCGTATGACCTCCGAGGATTGTGTGCCATGGACTGAGGTCCAGTACGAGTGTGTAACCTTGGAGAAGGTTGTATGTTGCGGAAGGTCGCTCGACCGATACGAGAACGTATACACCGAGGGTTTGAGACGAGGTAAGAGAAACTTGCTTTGTTACAAAATGTTTACATGGTCAGCCGAGGCTGAGCTCGTGGCTACATGGTCCAGCCTGCGGGCATGCCCAAGGCCGAGGTGTTGGTGATGAGTGATTACATCCGCTGTTGCTGTGGCGAGGTGATGAGGTCACTGTCGACGTACTGCTTCAAATTTCCACGGCGGATGAGAGACTCGATCTCGTCTTGGAGGTTGTAACAGTCCTCGGTGTCATGGCAGATGCCACAGTGATACGTGCAATATTTTTCTAGGTCACCCCTCTTGGGGTTCCTCTTTCTCTTTCCAGGCCACTTCATATACTCCTCCTCTCCTACTTGCATGAGGATGTGTGCTCGGGTGGAGTTGAGTGGCGTGTACTAGTCGTAGGATAAGGCCGGCAGTTTCCTGTTGTCGTTAGCACCGTAGTTATCTCCGTTCGGTGGTCGCCATGGTCATGATCGGCCTCTCCACCTCGGGGCTCGCCCGGCCAAGTCTTCCTTGGCGGCAATGTACTTCTACGCCTTTCTCAAAAATCATGCGTTGGTTATGAGCAGTGTCTTGTTGATAAAGACCTTAAGGGTCGATCCAGGGAGGAGGCCTTGGATTTCTGCAAGCATGGAGACCATGGGATCGAGGTTGCGGACCTCGAGCTCTTATTTCTTGAAGCAGTCGATGTAGAACAGCAGGCTCTCGCCATGTCGTTGTCAGACGGTCATGAATGAGATGACACACTTCTGGCATCGTCGGCTTCTAATGAAGTGGGCGAGGAAAAGATTGGCGAATTGGTCCCAAGAGCTGATGGAGCAAGGCGGGAACCCAGAAAACTAGCGCCAAGATACCCCCTTGAAGGTTGCCTAGAAAGCTTGGTACATTAAGGCGCTGGAGTACCCGTAGAGGAGCATGAGTGCCCGGAAGCTCTCCAGGTGTTTGTCTAGATCCGAGGTTCCATCACAAGTCTCCAGTGTGGGAACCTTGAAATGAGGTGGAAGAGGTTCCAAGGTGATGGCGGCTGTGAAGGCGTCCATCTTGGTGGAGGAGTGTTGACTTGCTGA